TATTTCCCCTCGCAACACGACACTTACCTTAGCTAATTCTATGAGTATTCATGGAACTACCAATTGCGATTTATACTCTAACCTGCTTCATTATGATGACTCTGAGTTTCTTTCATTCAATGCCCGCTCTCTGTTCAATGAAATTATTCATCTTAAAACTCTTTTATTCCTTGTAAATCCAATCATTGTACTTATTACGGAAACGTGGTGTAATTCATCTATATCAGATCATTCCTTGAATCTAGATAACTACGTTTTCTTTAGAAGCGATAGATGTTATGGAATAGGAGGCGGTACAATTATATATGTCCGTTCAGACATTTAAGCGTGCAAATTTGAGGATAAATCTCTTGATGCTATAGACGACTCCACTTGGGTTACTGTAAACTGTGGATCCCAAAATTATTTACTGGTGGGATGCATATATAGACCACCTCATGCGGATACTAAGTTTGACAGATTACTAACAAACATCTTTTCTATTGCTTCGCACCAACCGCATAATTTTAAAATCATCGGAGGTTATTTTAATCTGCCAAAAATTACATGGGGCTTGACTCCGGTACCAGGTCGATATAACAAGCTAGTTGAAACATTAGTAATTTGTGAATGGGTTCAACAGGTCCGAAAACCAACCAGGGGGAATAATACACTTGATTTAATGTTCACAATCAACATAGACTCTATCTTAGTGCATACCAGTCATGAGTTTTTTATGAGTGACCATAGAGTTATATTGAGTATTATTCACTCTTTAAACGCCATACAATTGAACTCTAAAGCTTCAATGACATACCAGAGCAGATATTTTGATCAACAAACATGGAAACGAACTGAAGCTCTCATTCAATGTTTACCATGGGAAACATTTTACCACAAATAATGTTGACATTGCGCTTTCCAATCTATACTACAACCTGATATATTGCCTTGACTGCACTGCTCCAGTTATTGACCGTGTGACTTATAATGCTAATAGGGGCCAAAATACTTTTAAAAGAAAGCTGAAGAAATTAAAATGCCGCTATTATGAGCAGAATGATGTGTATGCACTTCAGAGTATACTTAAATTAATCGACAGGAACGCTTCATCTAGACGTAAGTATTTTATGAATATAGAAAATAAAGCTCTACGTAGTAAAAGCCCAGAATTATCAATACTTCGACTTTTTAAATCCCGTGTAAAGTCAAGTTCCCTTGGCACGACCAAATTCTTCATAGTTAACGGAAGCATTGTTAACGACCCGAATACTATATGCGAACAATTCAGCAAGCACTTCTCGCAGTGCTACAAAACTGGAACTGAAAACTCCATCATTACATTTCCAATGCTGACATCCAGACATCTGTCGAAAATTGATTTTACACCCTCCAACATCAAGCAGGCCATAGCTGCCCTGAAAAAGTCTTATGATGGTGGACCTGACGGGATACCTTCATCATTTGTGAAATATGGAAGTAGAGAATTTCCACTATTTTGTTTGAAACTTTTCAATCTATCTATGGAATATGGGACCTATCCATCTGTATGGAAAACGTCCCTTATCACCTTTAGATTCAAAACAGGACCACGTAGTGATATAATTAACTGTAGGCCAATTAATTTGACATCCGTGCTCTCAAGAACTATGGAAAAAATCATTCACAAACAGCTATTTTCATTTTTACTTTCGGCTAGTCTGATCAGCCCATTCCAATACGGGTTTATGACTAAACGCTCATTTTTCACATCTCACCTGGAGTTTTTTGATCAAATTAGCCACAGAAGAGATGTTGGTCAGTCAGTGATAATTTTTTAATTCGATTTTAGTAAGGCTTTCGACAGTGTCGCACACAAACTTCTTCTTCTAAAACTCTTTTCATCTGACATGCAGGATCCCCTTTTATCTTGGCTCAAATCTTTTTTAGAAGAACGTAGCCAAATCGTTCGCTTTGGATCTTGCTACTCTAAACCTTTGAATGTAACCAGTGGGGTTATACAAGGAAGTGTGGTTGGTCCATTACTCTTTCTCCTTTTTATCAATGACGTGTGTTCCCTCTTTTAGTATGGTAAGCCTTTCCTTTTTACTGATGACCTGAAAGTAGTTTATTCATTCTCTTCTCCCACGAAAGAAAGTTATATTTCAGCGGTAATTCAAGAGGAAATAAACAAGTTGTACGAATGGACTGTTTAGTGGAATATGCAACTTAATATTGACAAAAGTGGATTTAATCACATTGGTCGATGCCTTAACTTAAATCTGACTGTACACACACATTCACTCAAACCTCTCTACACTGTTTGTGACCTGGGTTTAAGATATAGCAACAGTCTGAACATTTCTGAGTACATTATATCTCAAGTATCAATAATATCGAATCGAGTTTGTTATTATACAGAAAATGTATCTTACCCATTCTTGAATATAGTATTTTAGTTTACAATAATTGCAGGCATAATGACCTGATTAAAATTGAAGGTGTTCAAAGAAAGTTCACCAAAGCTGTTCTGAGGTATTCCGATAACAAAGTCTATCACCAAAGATGTCAACAACTCAACGTAGAACCTCTTTGGATCAGACGTATCAAATAAAATCTTGTCTTTATCTATCGGCTTATCAACGCTATTTTCTACTCTTCGGTATCCACCCCTTCATACCTTATGATATCATCCCACAATCTACGCAATAAAGAGAATACTCTAGTGATTCCAAGAACCCACACAAACTTACGGCAGAATGTTTTCCTTATTCGCTACTCAAACATGTGGAACAGACTGCCAGTGAACCTCCGTTGCAGTGAAACTACAACCCGGTTCAAAAGTCTCCTTGATGATTTTCTTTCCAAAAGTGGATTATGCCACAAACTGAATATCAATGTATTCAATAATGACTTATACAAACAAGGTCCGTCATCCATTTAATTGTGTGAAAGGCAAAATCAAACCTTTAAATCTTTTCACATCTATATTATTTTTTTCCATTTATCTCAATAAATGAAGTCTGCTTATGTTCGTGTTTATCATTATTACAGTTATTAATATAATTATTAGTTCCCCGACACATTAGATATTCTTTTTATCTCTTCTTATCCTTCTAAACATATTTAACTCCAGATTGTCCTTTGAAATCAATTTCGACTTTCATAGCATCATTCTTAATTATTATTGCACAAATATTTACATTAATATCCGGTTTCACTCTGTATACTATTACATAAATCTAAATGTATTCGTCCGAGTGCTTTAAAGGATTTTTATTTCATATTTTTTTTCAATTGCTGGTTTTCTTCTGAGGTTGATATTCATTACACAATTATTATTCTTATCATGGATGAAACTTTTCACTAGGTGTTCCCTTCTTTTCTCTCTTCTTTCGATCTAAATAAATATTCTCAAGATTACAAAGTTTGTAATTAAGACAATAACTTGTGTTACACTTAAATTAACTTCTCAGACCCGTTTTATCTTCACTATGCATATATGACTCATACATATTGATATTTCGTTATCCTTTTCACTTAATTGAGTCTTTCATAGCATCACTCTAAACTATGGCTGCACAAACATTTATTCTAGCGTCTTATCTCACTGCAATCATAAGCTATTTTTTCTTAATTATTTTTTGTTACTAATTTGACGATATATACATAGTTGTTTGTTCTTGTTTTATGTTCCTAAACACGCCAATTAAACTGTTTGCGCATTTCACGTCTCCTTTATTTCTATTCTTCTATTTTCTCAATTTCCTTCTTTAAACTCAATTCAATATTCTTCTCAATTGCACAGACCCGATTTATTATTATTAATATTCTACTATTGTTACTCTAAGTTTTTTTTTAAATATGGCAAATATAATGCTTAAATTATTGAAAATTGCGTATTATTGCATTTTTTGAAGAAACCCGAAATGGTTTTTTCACAACACTTATGTACCCATAAGATGTTTATGAATGATAATAATAATAATATACCCTCTGAGCAGACGCGAAACGTACAGATAATGTTTACGAGACTTAACATTCTAACCAGTTTAGAAAATGATTCGGAAATGCAGCACCTTTTAGATTAACATGGTTTTGTGGTTTTCCAGATGTGGGCATATGTAGGTCTTGAACTACATCGGAACGGGCTCAAGAATTACCGTAACTAGTTGCTATTTGGCAAAGCGAGGAGCAGCTGCACTTACATAGTAGTTATCGCTAATGTTCCGTTTTGTTATTTGAAGTATAAACTAATCAGCCTGATGCTTTTCCCTATCTGGGAATGGTGTTTTCCAACATTTTTGGTTACTGAGTTTCAAACCATTATTTTGTGTCTGTTCGTCCTGGAGTATGAGGTCATTTGGGGGCACTTGTAAATCCGTTTCACATCTGACGGCTCTTCGAAGTTTAATATCGTGTGGATAGTTAATTGTTATTGAACTGAAGTTTTCCGGGAGGTCTTAGGTGAATGTGAAGTAAAACAGAGGGTTCAGTATAGTTTCATGTGAAACCTCGGTTTTAAGACCTTACCAGCGTAGCCGCATACTAATATTATTGGTCCTGAATCATTAGTCCTGTAGCCAGTTACTTAGTCGTATGTCCGTATAACGAGTGAGTTCTTTAGTTTTCGTACAGTGTGCTCAGTTTAGAACAAAATGAAATGTTATATACTTGATTGTAACTTCTGTGTGAGAAGTTTCAAGGTTACAAAACGACTCACTCAAAAAGTGACGTCTGTTAGGTCTAATTCTTATCGTCGTGAGACTGTTTTTACTTAATAAACTACTCTTAGATGGAGACGACGTGAAATAAAAGGATGTGGGAGAGGATGGTTTACACCCTTCCTCTTGTAAATGCATAAATTATGAGACGAGGGAGGCACGCTAAAATGATTGCTTTTTCCCTGCCCATAATACATTATTTTAACAGCATATTACGTATCTAACAGTGTTAAGCTTTTTGGTTGGAATTAATCTCCACGATTAATTATTATGACAATTGTTTATCTTTATGTTGCTTTAGCTGCGAGTTATGAGAGGATTTGAATTGCCTGAATGTATCGCGTTCAAAATCATACACTACCAACTTTTAATTTCATTAATCAGATTATCTTGATCTTACGCTTGTGGCATCTCCGATTTTCATCGATAACAACTATTACTGATTGTAAGTTGGTCTTATGTGCTTACTAAGTAATCGGCTCACTTATTTTCTCGTTCTTTTCTCTTCCAGATTCTCACATACTGCATCTAACACTTCCCCAGAACATAAGTTACCTCCGGACTAAACGGGAACCTACGGAATACTAAGCGTTACATGAAATAATATAGCATGCGTATATCAAGATTATGTGGTTCTGCAAATCACTGTGCTCGGATATCAACACGCAAAACCATTTTCGGTGATGTGAGAGAATCTCGTATTGTTTTTTGTATTGATACCTCTGGAAGCATTTACAAAGTGTGGGATCAGATTTGCTCTCATGTTGTCGAACATTTGTGCAAGATGGCTATAAACAACAAAGCCTTGTATTTTAATGTTATAACATTCGATGACTATGTAAGCTCTCTTTGCTCATGACCATATTTGTGAATAGGTCAAACGCTTCCGAACGAAGCTGGTAGTAGCTTCTTACATAAATATACAGGAGTTAAATAAGTGGTTAAGAAGTGTATGTTTTGGGACTAGCTGTTATGTCTTTCCTGCGTTATTGGCGTCTTACTCGCATGTGGATGCGGAATGTGTATTACTAGTCACAGACGGTTTACTGACTAAGGTAGGTACTGTATAAATGATGTTTTTCACACACAATTGTACTTGCAGGAATTTTATGAGATACAACAATTATCCACAGTTTGCAACTCACGTCCCCTCTACTTAACTCTTTTAATGAATAATATAAATCCAAATAACAGAGTTATTGAACTAGCTTCTAAATTACTGATGATGACGTGTTGTTCGAAGAGCAGACTGAATGTTATTACAATTGCTGTGAGTGGATGTTTTGTCCAGCTTTCACCAATTGAATGGAGTATCAGAGTTCCTTCAAAACTTTATGGATGCCCGAATTCCTGCTATAAGTTTGTGCTTGACAGTCTACACAAACTCCCAAAAGAAATCACAGGTGGAATATGTCCTGTTAAAAATTCACAGACACATAATTTGACATCTCAAGAAGCCATGAAAGGTAAGATTTGTATTCAGCTATACAACGTCTCTAAGACGAATTCTAAAGCTAAATTTTGTGTCAGATGCGTCACAAACTTTTCCAAAGCTTTGCTATTAGCTGATAATGTTAAGATTCTCCATTATTGCAAAGCTCCGGTTAGAATTATGGAATTTCAATCTTAAGTTTAGCACCTTATACACAAAACGTAGTGATTGCCCAGTTCATTCTAAACAAGTACTGACCTAAGGAAGTTCCCGTTATTTTATTGATAAAAGTAAAACTCTGAACATTATTTACAATCTAAAAAAAGGATTTAAACTTTGAAAGGTTAGTGGTATATATATTCGATTTAGCGTAGTCAGCGGCATGTAAATAACTGAGTTCTACCACTGGTCAGTGGCTGTAAAATAATTCATGTATTATGTATTTGATGAGGAGATTTTTAAAAAAGATTTTTGTAAACGCTGGTATGTTGTGATCATAATACATAATATAATATTTGTAGTTACATTCGCAACCGGGCCTACATTTTACTCATTGACGAAATTATCTAATCGAAAATCAGTTTTTTTCGCCCGTACGTTTTGAAATTATAGTGGGAGTAACTCATGCAATATATGGAAACGATAATTATGGGACACGGCAATACAATTTATGTTTTTACTTGTAGAAACACACACTTAAAGCAGGTTGAAATTTAAGGCTAACGACAAGCTAGTCAAACCTCCATTGTTTTCGTACTTTTGAACAAATTATTAGCCTCAAAGTATTCGGGAATGCATAAAATCTCTCAGTAAATTTACCTAGTGGCCTAATTTAGATCAGTTCATGACTTAATTGAAATCTAAAAACCACCACAAATCACAATGTGCAACTGTTTGCTTGCATTTTTCTGACATTGGCAGTATTTTTCTAGACCTACAGATAATCAGACACGAATTAAGTAGCACGTGTATAATTAACGTATAAGTCTATGCTGGTACAGTTCACACAAGTTCATCAAGAAAAATTTAAAAGAATTGGAGGGAACCACTTGTAGTAAAAGTATTCCCATTAGTGGGAAATAAAATAAGATAGAAAAAGAAACGGAAGGGAACAAGAAGTATATGATGATAATGTTTATGATCCAGACAGAGATAGGTAATAAACACATCAACAAAATTCCATCCCATCCCGATTCTTATCACTTGCTAGTCATTATCCACTAATCGTGGTTATTTCAGCGTAACGTTGCATCACTACTCAGCGTAGAATAGCAGTTAATAATTGATGCAATATTTTGGTCCGATATCTCCCGGTATTATCTGGTTAGATGTGTTCTCTGTTTGATGTCAAGCTAAGACTACCTAAATTGTGTAACGATGTTAAATAGGTGTGGCTAACAACTTTCAGTAATTTATAAATGTTAGCAAAAATTGATGTCTTTCAGGCTCTAAGAGATTAAAAAGGATCTCTTGTACAATGCATAGTGTTTCTTTGGAGTTTATAAATTTATTTTGTGTGTTGCAAAACTGTTTTAACCAATGGCACTTCTCGTTTATCAGATTTAATAATGATGCTAAATGTAGGTAGGTTTATTTGACTTTTTCGATTTGCCATAAGTTTGTACTGATGAGTGTAATTGATATCAGATCTTTCTAAAAAGCTTTAACGGCAAATTTTTCCTGGTACAACGGATTTTTTAACTATCCTGATTCAGTCTTATTTTTGTTATAATCAGTTGTCCATCAACTGAATCAGGGTTTTCATTTATGCGAAATTGAATATTTACTGTTTAGCCAGTTAGTAGTTTATTAACTTGAGCAGATTATGTACTATGTGATTGTTTAATTGAACAAACCCCTTTATGTACATTTCTGACATAATAAAAATGATTACTCTGCAATTACTCAGTTTTGTACACCTATAATTAGCAAGTAAGCTCAATATTGTAACTAATGAACGACTGACGAAACATTAAGTAGATAGCAGAGTTTCTGAATGATGTTTGTATATAATTTTTACTGAAACGATGATATAGCATACTTTAACCTCTAGGCACATGAGGATAAAATCCCTTATAATACATCATATATATGAACTACTGTTTGGAGATCGTTGACTGTGGCGTGATCTCACAAATACACTAAACTTACTGTTATAAGTAAATGTAGATTAGGCACATGTTTGATAAACATATCCTGATAACTAACGACTTATTGGATCTTTAATTCAGAGCATTAAAAGACTTGTGACAAAAAGTATTCTTTCACCTCAGTTTCACCCACATTTTTGAAAAAAATACGGACAAGGTTTGATAAATAATCATTTCATTTTGATTTCAAAAAACCACTGAAATCAAAGACATGGTATGATCATAATATAGAAACTTCATTCATACAAGAAAAATCTATTTACATCCTAATATTTTTTGAAGTGGCGTTTGTTCGTCCATGATTTTTCAGTATAAATACACTACATTCACGAGAGTTTCTTAGATGAAAATAAAATCAATGAATATTTATTCTACAACATTATTCACCTTGACCCGTAGTTCTAGTGAAAAGTTTTCATATTAATTCAGATATTCCCAAAGTTGACAGTACTTTGATATTGCGAAGTGACGCTGTACATTTGACACGTATTACCGATTAGTACTCTAGTAAACAACTAAATTCAGTAAAATACGATAAGCTTCTAAGAGTCTTCAATTCATAATCATATTGAGGACCATAGGGTTCTGTAGGAAATAACGATCGTTAAGGGGAAAGTATATAACACGAATATTGAAATAAACATGTTATAAATGTCGATTGCTTAGAAAAGCAGTCACATAAAAGGGAAGTGTATTTATGTGTCTGGATCTGTAGTCATCCATGTAATCGACACAACGTTAAAAACTATTTTTAATATGAAAACTATGGATAAAGCACTTGATAACATTTATCAGTTATTTTGCCCATGAACCAGTCATGGATAAAGCGTGTCCTATTAGCTTGTGGAAATTCTCATTTATCAATGTATAGCGAAACTGCTCCGGTTCTGTCATTCTACGGCTCCATTTTACACATTTATCTGATCAAGTGTATGTAGATTCAACGTAGTTTAAAGTCAAGTTTCAAGCCATTTTATTTATAATTGTTTCATGTTAGGGAAAGAGCTATATCGTTAACACAGAAATGTTAAGGTTCAGTAAGAAAATAGTTTTTAAAAGTTAGTGTTCCTGCTTTTGGCAATTGCATCTATTCGTACACTTCAAGCATTCTCCATAAATGTATATAAATTTAAAGAAATAAATTTGTCTAAATCTTGGTGATTGAATCGAATGATTTTAAAGTTTGATCCATCAGTCTCGTTCGAGCTTCAAGAAAATAATCAAGGATAAGTATTGTTTAATACAACGCCACAAAACAGAAATGCAGTAAGATGTTGAATATATTTTGAATGTTTGTGTTTAAGCAGCATCGTGTGAAGAAATGTATCTACAGATATGTAATTTATATTGGATGGCCGGTAACTACATATGTCGTTCTCAGTTATTGTGAGGATAAAATCTGTAATCCTGGCTAATAATCGCAAACTTGTCAGAGTATGTGCAGGTAAAAAAATAAATAGGCTGATCACTGTATGAATATTTAGGAAGTTATGTAAGCCAAACCAGTTATCACAGTCAATATTGAAAACAAGATAACTGATTAAAGAAAGAAATGCTGTTGTCCATATTCAGTGACTCAGGAAAGGACATACAAGTGGCAGTTTAGCATGGAGTTGTCCTCATCGACTACAATACTTTATGAAACAGTTCTGTATTTCACGTACGTTTATACACTAAGAGATATAATACCAAAAAGAGTTAAATTAACGTTACTAGAAACAACAGTGCTAAAAATAAATAGTTATTTCGAAAAAGACAACAAACGGTTCAATATTATCAAAATAAAGCAGTATAAACCTGATGGGCAAAGTAACATGAAGTATTAAGCGTTTAGATATCTATCAACACTCATCATTAAAGCCTTATCCATTCCAAAATCTTAGGCTTAATTAAGGTGATAAACTTATTTGATTTTAATAGAAATAAGGATGGCTTTTGTCATGGGTAGTATCAGTTTAAGAAGACAAAAGAAAACCCAGGCAGACATAACCCCTAGTTTGAGACATCTCAGCAGTATCCATTCACAATTAAATATGATTGTCAACGATAAACTTGAATTTTCTAATATTATGTGATCCAATCTTTCTCACTGACCTTAATAAATTTTTAGTCTATCTTATTCATCAAAAGAGTCATAAAATAGTATCTTTTTAACTGAATATGACTCTTAGGTCATAACTATTTACGTTTCCCAGAGTAACTGATTTATACCGATAACTTGTTGTCATAGTTAAACATTACACTGTCTTCGTAAATATAACGTAAATTTCTTTAAAGGTTGTTATTTTTTAAAGAAATACCCATTTTCAAGAATTTTTACCGGTCTACATTTGTTTTTAAATGTGTAACATGATTGCTTAGCAGCTGGTATTTATTTTCCGCATTGTCATATATACAATTTAGAACTTTTTAATTTAAACTACTATTTCAGCATGCATATTTAGGTTATAAATTGCTAATATTTTATTATTATGATAAATTTGTCTATGTATAAATGAAGTTGTCCTTGCTAACAAAAGGAAAACAAGTAAGTTATAGGAGTTAACTGTGAAAGATATATTACCTAGCGAAAATACTCAATTATATCAAAATTGGTTTCAAGCCTTATTTCTAATGAAGTGAAATCATATTACTTGATAGTATGATGTATATTGTAAGATCAAATGAGATTTCATGAATGTAACTTTATTAATCAGTTAAAAAAGTTCACTAGAATGAAATTTTATATCCTGTTCTATTTTTTAACTTCAAAGGACTTTGAGTACGATTGTTTATTTTAGCGAAACTGTTTTCCTCGATAGTCCATCATCTAATCTTTTATAACCCTTTTTTGTGTTAGTTGAGGGATAATTAACCAAGTTTAAGGAAATCGATTAAACGACTTCGGATGCCAACTACTCTCGTAGCATAAAATAACACTCTTTTCTTCAGTTATATTTGATTTCTTTCATTTTTAGCATACGAGACCGATTCACTTTATAAAATAAGCCATTTATACACTGAAATAACGTTAGAATTATGTATGTGAGTACCTTCAATGGTGTCTTGATGGAGCAAGAAAGACGAAATGTTATAAATAAAAAAATGAATAGAGTTTTGAGTAAAATTTAACAGTTCCACGATGTTATGGTTTATTGAAATGGAAATATTGATAGATCGGAATATTTGCTCACAAAACCCCATAACTTAAGTTTATCTTTCACTGCTGTTCCAGTCGATTATTAAAAGTGATATTAGTTGAAGAATTATTGAAATCAACATGCACTTGAACAGTATTTCCTCCTATTTTAGAACTCTTCAACTGTGCTAACCCACAAATCTACATAAAACTGGCTTGAAATTGATGTCGGCGACACAGATGTTATTTTTAGTTATTTGTTTCTTTGATATCTGATCCCCATTCATTATGTTATCAAAAGATTTAAAGACTTTTATCAATGGTCAATTGTACTTGATCATATTTTTCTATTAATACCCTTTTAGCCAAAACAAACAGAAACAAGATAAGCAAAAACCCCAGTTCTTTTTAGAAGATATGTATTAAGGAATGTACACTTCTGCTTAAAACAAATTCCTTTTACATTTATTTATTGCTTAAAGATAGTGCTTGTCAAGTTTCGAACCCTTCAAGTGAAACACTATTAACAGACAGTTCCATTCACCTCCCTAAGATTAATGAACAGCAAGTTCAAAGAAGTAAGTTGCTTGAAATGAATGACTGTCAAACTCAGACAATTTCTGGCACGTCAGAAGAAGTAACTACAACGGATTCAAACCAGTTTATTACCTCTTCATCCCATACAATGTATGGTGAAGGTCATAATCATAACTGTATGTGCAATTCGTGTCTTGCATGTGAATGTTCAGAGGAACATGCTGGTAATAAATTCAAACGAAGCAGATATCGTGTCGCTAGGTGAATACACTTTTATTTTACAGTTGCAGTTTGTAACAAGTACTTAATGTAATATATATTATCATGCTTTGATGACTTTATATTCGCCGAACTAACTATATTATTTGTTGTGTTCTATTTCACTCTAAGCAGCTTAACTGTGTTATCACCGATAGATATAAGAATACAAAGCTCAAAAATCTCAACAACCTTGCATACTAAAAAACGATTATGTACTTACTAGGGACTAAATTCAAATGAAGAGTCTCGTGATCAATGTGATTCAAGCATGTTGGGCGTCAAGCAATCAATGTTTGTAAAATATTATCAGCCATTCGTAGTTAGAAACGCAAAACGTTAAATCACGATTAAGCAGTTAAAATATTGTGCACTCGCCACTAGGTATGAATACCTTGAGTTTGATCCTGGATAAAATATTAGGTGCGTAAAGCTTCAGGGACCCATTCTAAGAAGAAACGGATATCTGATTGCTTTTAATTTTCATTGATCGTCTGACTAACGTCACTATTTGATATAAATGATACGTAAAAAAATTTAATGCTCTTTAAATGCTCAATATTTTTTACAATTAAAAATTTTTTTTAATTAGTTTTCAAGTACCACTATTTGCACTCTTAAAACTTTCGGATATTAAAATTTTAAGCTGAAAAACAACACCAGAGAGTCCGCCCTGAGATAGGCTGGTAACAAGGTTTAGGCCTAGAGAAAAGTGTTCGTCTTAGTTTTATTTTATATGAAATATTATATTTCAGTAATACAGTGATTTTTATCGTTCATGATAGATCTTTTATAAATGGTCGCTCACAACTTGATTGGTGGGCTGATGATATTCGAATAGCTCCTTCAGCTGGTGCTTTACTTCTGGGTCATACTGTTTTGGCTCCAAAGTATAACGAGGGTAGTCGGTTATTTATGGGTACTGTACTTTCACAGGTAAATTCTTGCGTGTGGTTTGATATTCATTGTTTGGACTTAGCATTTCAAATTCCTAGTCTTTAATGAATAGCATCATGTTAAGTTCACCAAATCTTAATTTTTCATTTTAAGTTACTCATCACCAGATACCAAACACTGCAATATTAAGGATAGTGGTAATAGTAATTTATTTATCAAGTACACATTTATGAGCTTCGTTTTGAGAAAGAAGTTCGTGTGAATGCTTTTGATACTACTCGGCTAACCAGACAGAAGTAAGTGAAAAGGGACGTCTTTCATGCACAACACTAAGGAAGTCGAATCATTACCACTGTAGAATAATTTTTTATGACTGCAATTCATTCACATGTTAAAATAAACTAAATGACAAATTGATAGTAAATATATTGTATACTGATATTCTTAGTAGGTTCTCATAATTTCCTCAAACTAATTGTTTTTCTACAATTTATAGGTAGATTACTGCACGTTTATTATCTGCTTTGAAGACCCTAATTCAAAAATAAAACATCGTGAAAATATTCAAGAAACTCATGTACATGAACTACTATCATATTTGGATTTTCATCGTCACCCTGTTGATGCAGGAGATTTTGTTCTTGTACCTCAGTGTATATCTAATTGCAAGGAATTAAATCATTCCCAAAAGCATTATCTTATTCCTTATTATGTTGCGAAAGTTTTATCTGGTTACGAATCGCGTTCATCGATTAGAAACGGTAATTTCCATTTTGTGGTGATTCTTTTTTCTTTTTCATAAGGAAACATTTTACTCATCTGATAAATAACTGTATAAACCTAGAGTGACTTGTCTTCATCTAATTATTGAAAGCAATCGTTGAAAATCTACAAACTTTGGTTTAACTGTATAACAGATTTATAGGTAGAGCTATTTTTATTCCCTAATATATACATCGAATTAGTTGCATTCATGTGGGACATTTTGAAACCATACAGTTAAAATATTCCCTAACAAATTACGTTTTATACGCATAATTGTATACATTTTTCCAGTATGATAGGAAATGAACTGTACTACCAAACATCTCAACTGAAAACTCACAAGGACAACTAATACATATATAAATCTTTATTAAACGAATAAAAAGAGAATGAGCATAAACTACCCTGTTAATAAAATCCTATTAGGTCACTGAAAAATTTGAATATTGGGATAGCACATCCCTTGTTAAAATATCGAAGTTCAGCTCTAGATCGGAATGACATTCATTGCAACAATGCTCATCAGCCGTCATGTAGAACGGTTACTATTTATTTATTTTTCCAGTATATAGGGAAATAATTTTTTTTCACATAGTTGAAAGGGTTGTGGTAATTCTGAGGTATATGATAATTTCACTGTGCCTCTGCGTATCAAAAGTTTACATGAACTGGCTTTTTCATTAGTGCGTTACTAAATGTAATGCCTCAGATTTAAATAGTTGCAGTCACTCTACTAAATCTGTGAAAACAATTGGAATAATTTGAGCTCGATCGATAGCATTCAAATTACTTTGTGTAAAACTAGTAACTTTCTAAAAAATTTAAGAATATTTTACCTATAAAATAATCTTTGGTAGACTGTTTGCAAAAATTAAGAACGAGTTTAACTTTCATCGTTATGAGATTGAGTTTTGCTTGGAAAAATCAAACAAACGTGAATCCATTTGTTGAATAACCACCTGTTTTATCATAACTATTTTAGAACCCCTTTAAGATATATATAAATGAACAATAAGATTTTATTCACGAGTTACATTTCTCAATAATGTTGATATTTAACTTGTTTGAACAATGTTTGGACTGTTGAGATCTCTTACCATTATTCTTAGGGAAAATTGCTCACGATGCAATAAACTGTGGTATCGCTCTATGAAGTCATAAGTGTATGTACAGACCACGTGATTGAAGTCTACGGGATAACTGCAATCAGTGATCGGATACTTTGAATGATAAGGCTCAGAATCAGTTACAGTGGTGAACATGCATTCACTGTTTGTGCTTCTCGAGATCCTCAGTTTTAGTATTTCTTCGTATATATTTTCTACTTCACCTTTCCAAACCATACATTCAAATTTCAGTTTTTCTTATTATCAGTATCATTGTCACTACATTATTTCAATTATTTTGCCATTGATCTTTTTAAACTCATCTTGTTTTGTTAATATGATATGGGAACTTGTGCCAACGCACATATTTGTCGGGCTCTATTTTGTTTTTGACTGATGATATGGTGAAGCTAGTTTAATATTTTATCTTTTTACTTATGTTACTTGTTTTTTATGAGTAGTATCTTTGAACTTCAAAGCATTCTAAAAAACCCGTTTGATCACTGTTAACAATTGGGTTTAAAACGAACGCATTAATTACATAGCTTTCTTTAGTAAGACATCTAGTAATAATGTTTCCGCCTTACAATCGCGTTTCATTGCAAACTCGTTAATTTGTTTTTTGGAAGCTTCATAGTTTTGTATAGAAGCTTTATCGATAATATATTCACAATAAACGATGAAAAGTGTGATGCAAAGAAAAATACTTGTCCTTATGAAATTACCACCTATTACATAAGTTTATAACGAGACAAGTATATACATCGAAATTTTACTTTCGTTCGATGTTTTAGTTACTAAATTCCTTAGTTATTGTCTCTTATAAACACTAGTGAAAAATTCAAAAAACTTAAAATATCACTTCATATATCAATGCTTTATATAAGCAGTTTTGGTTATGGATAAACTCCTAGTCTAATTTCTGAGCAAATTTAATCACTCTCTAGTTTTTATTAATTTTTCATAGTGGCATCAAAGTAGTATATGGATGACACTAGATGGTTCTAAAGTGACCATGAGAAATCTCGAATTCGGTCTACGAATTAGAATTAACAGTTAGGATGAGAAATAGTGGTTAGGGTTTTCATCATGAACCAACATCAACCGTAATGGTAGAATGCTCTTATAAACATATAAATGAATAAATTGTGCACAAAAACCCTTTAGGCGTTATCTTGAATTTAATTGCTTCATCCATATGCTTTAGTTCCACCTATTTTGTAAGTTAGGATATCTGTTGTTTAATATTTTGATCCATTTTCGATTGCATAACAACATATTGTATTTTTGATTTTCTTAAATGTATTTTGGGATTCACAGTGTCAGATAAACCTGTAATGGTAGAATTTGTCAGACAAGGAAATAGTGAAACAATTCCAAGTACTAATCTTAAAATTCCATTCAACACCGCTATATGGATACCTAATGATTTATTTCAAAAGAATTTCTTATCAAGTAAAATCCAGTGGGAATTTACTCCCACCGAAGAATCAAATATTTCAGATGCACAAACAGGTTGTACTTTCCCAAATGGTACCAATACTACTAGATTAACAAACAGTGCAGAAATACCAAACACTGGGATGGTCAAATCAAATGAAAATATATTACGACCATTCAATCAGTTAGCTCCATTTTCTGTCGGTGGTGTTATTAGCAAAAACAACTCCACTAATAATGATAATGGAGAAACGAAGATGAATTATGCATATACTAAAGATCAATTGGACCAGTTGAAGAGTGAATTTATTGATTCAGATTATGCTTCAAGTATGGACGAAGGTGGTAGCAGTAGTAATCATCAAAGAAAGAAAAGCTGCAAGTCAGAGTCAAATATCTTGTCTGAAGCATTTCATGATTTTCATTCAGATATTGCAAGTCGATTTGTAGAGAGAAAAAGTTGTGAATATGAACGAATTCGACGTCCTATCAACGCTGAAGGTACGAATTTATATATATAATAAGCTTTTTTTGATTAGCCAATGCTTGTCACCTGCAACACAGACAAAAATATCGATAGACCTATCTAAAATCCAGCACACTATGCAACAATTATCTCTATGTCACTTTATGGTTATAAAGCATGTCCTGTGAAGATAGAAGACAAGTTTGGTTTACTAGTATTTGGTGTAATCAAAGTATTGCTCGCGTTTGGTGAAGTGACCTAATGACTAATACTTACATTAGTTTTGGAGTACTAGATAAATATGGCAAATAGATTGATGGGTGTTCCAAAACCCCCATACTGAGCTGATTTTAATATCTTTTATTCGTAACTAGTTACCGTCTTCATAACACCAGATGCCTAACCAGTACAAGGGTAGACTAGAGTAAAGTTGAGGAATGGAAATTCAAGAAATAGCATTAATCGCCGATGTCACTAACTGTTGAATTGAGATTTACTAAGAGATTTGAACTTTCTGGTTGATTATAGACCCTAATTGATATGTCTCAAAGCCTGTAACAATGAGGGGGGATGTTTTCATTCTCAACTAGTAATTCTCAAATTTAAGTATCATTCCATACTCCTCATTCCTAAATTTCATTATTATGGTTATTACTCAATTCTCAATGGCATAATGGTTTCGACTTCTTTGTGTTCATTTCCTCTCACTGCGCTGATATACATAGAATGTGGCAACTTGTATCCAAGCACATTTGAGTGAGTTCTTTCGTCTTATCACCACTGATGGGTTGAGAGGAAAACAGCTCATCCCTTTAAATATGAAAATTATGTTTGAAATAATCTCAGTGATTGAGATAATTATGTTAGTCTGTATAGGAGGAGATTACATCATGAAGTTATTCATTGTCTCTTCATACTGTTATGTGGAAAATGAATTATCGTATTTCTTATTCGGAAATTACTCTTAACCCCCCTATATTTTTCTTCAACCTCTTGATCATCACTCAACCTTCTTTTGATTTTTGGAATTACTTCGTCGAAATTGGCTGGATTTTCTTTATTTTTATTCAATAGCACAATGTGTTACTTTAATAAAAACTAGCTAATAATCCAAATTGTTGAACATGAACATCAAAGTAGAACTGTTTCATTGAAATTATGAACCAATCAGTGTTAGACCACCATTATAATTCTGAAAGCACTGGACGGTCCTTTCATGCTAGTACAGGACTCTCCAGTGGTGCTCATTCACGACCTCGTAAGCGGGAAAAGAATCCAGGGCCTTCGGTCTCGCGTGCGAACTTTTAATCTCTAAACTACAGAGCCGTTATCCAACGGTGTTAATGTCTTACTTCAATCAGTCCATGGTATTGCTTGACCATCTTTGAGATTTTGAATGATAGTCTAACGTTGATAGATTCATTATTTCAATAAAACTAGACAATTTTCACAACCCTACACTAAAAGTAAAAGTGGATCAAAATCCAAATATATAGACTAACGAATACAGCCGAAAATAAGAGAAATGTTAAATAATTTGTCATGGTCCAGGATCTGTATAAAGGGAAACTGAAATATGACATTGAAAACATTACAGACAATTAATATTCAACCAGTTAATCAGTCACACAACTGAACAATAAAAAAAGAAAGAAAGCAAATTATCCTATTGTTATTTTAGATTTCAATCAACATTCATTTCCCTGTTTACTGATTAGGAGATATTTCAAAGAAAAGCATTCATCGCAGTTTTGTTGAGACAAGAAATACTTTATCACTCATTTTCACGCATACACACACCAATTAGTTTTTTTTATATCTGACTTGTTTGGTAGTCAGGTATCCTCACTTTCGTTTACTTGATTACCATAAAGTATTTTATCATTCCTTTGACTACTGTCTCTTCTGTTATTTTTGCAACCCTTTTAATATGGATTTCACTCTAATTCATGAATAAATAAATTTTTAATAGTAATACTGATTACACTGATAAAAACCGTAATGATAGTGATAAAAATTATGCCAGACTAGAAAATAAAGTAAGTGAATTCACTTTTCCATAGAAAACCAAATGATTGATGTGACTTCATGTAATTTGTGAATATTAAAAAATGACTAAACTGACTTCAATTGAACCATTAAAAAGCCAAGGACTGATCAGTACTTGTTTAATTTTAGTTTGAGACAAGCCATTTTACTACAGTTATCGTGATTAATATGATACAGTTCAGTTATTTTTGACTCCAGTCAATTTCTGTCTACCATTCATTAGTGACTTATTCAATTCCACCACCTTAAACCTGTTCACTTTTAATTACATGACTGAATAATTTATTCAGTTTATGTATCTGTTGTTTTTTCCATCTTTACTCACTTCTGATCATTGGAATCGATGGTTAGGCAAGGAAGAGTACAGCACATTGATTTCACTATCAGTCAGTCAAAAACAAAATAGAACCCGACAAATATGTGCGTTGGCACAAGTTCCCATATCATATTAACAAAACAAGATGAGTTTAAAAAGATCAATGGCAAAATAATTGAAATAATGTAGTGACAATGATACTGATAATAAGAAAAACTGAAATTTGAATGTATGGTTTGGAAAGGTGAAGTAGAAAATATATACGAAGAAATACTAAAACTGAGGATCTCGAGAAGCACAAACAGTGAATGCATGTTCACCACTGTAACTGATTCTGAGCCTTATCATTCAAAGTATCCGATCACTGATTGCAGTTATCCCGTAGACTCCAACCATGAGGTCTTTGTATAGCCACACAGCCGAGATAATCAATCAGTAAGTTCGTGGACGGACGCCAATTTTCGGTTGTAGCTCAGTTCAAAGATATTTCTGCTTCTCACTAACTATTATTCTTTCTTTTGATTAGCCTGCAGAATATACAACCAGGTGAAAGATGTTGCAACATATATAGATCCAGAACTACAATATGGGAAAATGTATATTAAATGGGTAAAAGATCAAGTTAAGCCTATGAATCGGCCAGAATGGCGGTACTGGGGGGCTAAGCCTATACCACAACTAACTGCACCTCCAACATTTGAACCTTTCAAAGATACGGTTGCCTGGAGTAGGTCAGATCGTTTAAAAACTACAGGTAAGTTAATTTCATTTGTTATAGGATTTTCTTTGTTTGTATTCAAACTAAATAATGTTAGCAAAATGTTTATAATATCTATCTTGCATATATTGATTAACTAATACTAAATGTGATTTTATGTATTTTAATTTTCTATGATACATATAACTATTGAAGCAAATACTCGTAGTATTTCTGTCTATTGGTGGAGGAACGTGTTATAAAAAAAATTAGTTACCTTAACTATTCCAGACAGTGGAATCTTTTTTAAGAAAAAAAAGTTATTAATTAACTATCATATATAAAATATATGAGAAGACACAATTACTAATTTAGTTGTCTTTTATATAAGCGGAATAATCAAAGTTACTTTTGTCATCAATATTTGTCGCAATTGTAAGTATATTAAAAAAAAAACTATAATAATAAACTGATAATTAACAGAGAAAAACAAACAAACAAACAAATCGGATCATTAGAGTTAATGCTGAAAAATAAGTTAAGTTAATTAATTAGAAAAGAATTGAATTCCCTCTTTGTTAAGGCTAACTGTAGTCTTTCATAAAATCTTAATGATTTTCATAATTATACTAATTCTAAGCAATGAGTATTAGAGTGAACAATAGTTCTTCATAAATTCTTTATCAGGCTCTACAGTTATAAACTATAGATTATTATTATTATTATTATTATTATTAGTGTCAAAACCTGTTTTGTAAATCGAAAAGGCTAAACTTCTCATTGATGATTAAATCTTAAAGGTTATAAATTACTCATAATGTAAAATAGCTTCATTATTAATGTCATACATAATGAATACAAAAAATTATCTGCCTTAATTAAAGTAATAATAAAAATTCCCGTTTCGACATTTGGTAAATAGCAAAGAAACGAATCGAACGAAGAAATTTTTTTTCAATTAGTTTTTCATCATGGCTCTACACTAATATATATATTGATTGAGATCATGAACCGATTGATGTTGGACCACCATTGAAAACCTGGAAGCACTGGACGGCCGTTTCGTCTTATTGTGGAACTCCTTAGCAGTGCGCATCCACGATCCCGCTTGCGGGTCTTCAGTCTCGCGCGCTAACGCTTAACCTACTGGACAACTGAGCCGGCATCCAATGGTGTTGATGTCTAACCTCAACCAATCCACGAAGTTGCGCGACCATCTTCCATTGTACTGAGGTAGACACCTGCTTCTACCCGACACGAATTTTATATATATATATATATATATATATATATATATATATATATATATATATATATATATATATATATATATATATATATATATATATATAGAGCCATGATGAAAAACTAATTGAAAAGAAATTTCTTCGCTCGATTCGTTTCTTCTTTAAAGTGATAAGTTCTAATCAATGAAATAAAACTGTATGTAAGAACAAGGGAATATAAAATAGGAATTGTTGTGTCACACTTGTTAAGATAATAAAAATAATGATGATATTGAGAGTAATTATTGGTAAGAACATCATATAACATAAGAGAGATGAATAAATAATGAAGCATAAGTAAAATGTCTTGGAAGTTAGTATATAAGTCACATTGAAGGTGGAATGAACTTGACATTATATTTATACATTATTGATCTGATGGTCAGTATTGTTGCTGCAAACGAAACGATAATACGTTATATTGATCTATAAATTCCATGTTACCATGTAATAATCTTTTTAAATATTACACTTAACATTTAATATAGAAGTTAATCAGTAGATTTTTAATGCCATTTCAACCACGTTCAATTAAATTTTGTTGTTAACAAATAGCATATACTATGACAAAACACACTGAGTAGGTAGGGCTTTGAAGTCATCATCTTTTTCTAAGACCGACCGTTGAAGACTTTGGATGATATAGTTAAGAATCAGTCAGAATGGTTCAAATAATCTCACTCTGTCTTCTTTTGGTTGTTGAAACCTGAGATTAACTTACATTTTTCTGATCAACTCATTCATTCTTTCTTTCAAAACCATGCCTAATCTTTTGTACAGCAAGAGATGATAAAGTGTGACAACTTGGACCGATGCATATATACGTCAGGTTCTAGGTTGCACATAACTGATCACCTAAATTATCCTCAGCAGCATACACGGTTCCACACAGAAATGAACCGATAGGCTTTGAGTTTTGTGGTATCAACGATATGTACAAACTATTAAACTAAAATTCAATAGAATTTAATTTTAATGAGCAGTTTATTTGACTTCACAAGTCACAGTTACTCACCGTTGAGCTTATGGTCATTTAATCTATTCCATCCGTTGACTGAATACATTTTTACTTTCCTCTCTTTTATCATGGGGTCCTAACTCAATAGTCGATTATTCTATTTTGGATCTTTCTAAAAATAAAATTCATGGGTTTCGTACCTCGAATAATTACTAGCTGTAGTAACAGTGTATGATTTTATTTATACAAAAATAATTGAATTATTAACCTTTTTACATTTGAATTGAATTGTGTTTCATAAGTGATATTCATTGAACAAGAGATGTGGTGTATCTAATTCCACTATTATTGATGCCTCGACGTGCGATGTTCAGTGGTATAGGAGTAGGTTGGAAGAAAGCTAGGGGCGGCCAGACCAAAACATGGCACAAGTCCATGAAGTCACTGACAAGTGGTCTGAGTCATGTTGATAGGTATAGACTACCTGGTTGGGGACCGCGAGATGATAGCAACCGATGGTTAGAGACCTTGAATGACATGGCTCAAAATCGTTTGCAATGGCGCAGGTGCATACACTCTTTGTGTTCTCCCAAATTTTGATCTCCTTATTCATCCTTGTCTCTTTTTTTTCTCTTTCGAAATTTGTTTCACTGTATTATACTCTTTAAGTAACATCTCCAAACACTAATCTTTCCGATTACTGCTTATACTCTTACCGCCTGTACCACTACGGGATTTGAATCGACCACTACATCTCTGTGCTAATGTGGTGTGGCAACTCGAACTGATGTACGTACGTACGAAGTTCTACGTTGTTAGTGACTGACTGACCACTATTATTGAACTCACATTGGTAGAATGAAAATGAATAAACTTACCAACTACAAAAATTAAGATTCAAATAATATAAAGTAAATATGTAACATTTGAACTCTCCAGTAAATTATGGTTTATTTAAAGAAGTACTATTTAATGCATAGAATTGTGTATATTCTTAGTATCAGGTTGCTTTAATAGTCTTAAACCTGGAATCAAGCCTATTAATAGCTAACATAGTTCGTAAAACAAACTTTCATAGAATAATTCTAGCATTGATTTTTTGTATCATAAAGTTTGCTTTCCTCAAACTGATATTTCTAAATCAAATAATATTTAATGTTCATTCTCTAAATAATACCATTTATTCTCATTTTATGGATAAAACTGTCATTTGGTAGATGTCTGTTATATTAACTGGAATCAATAGTTATAAAATCCAATAGGACTAAATAGAGATGAATGATAGCAAGCAGTGAAATCCAGGAGGCGCTTTTCGTTTCAAATGCAGTCTAAACATTAACACAAGCAATAAAAAAAATGAATGTAATCAGATTAGATCATGTTTAATATGATGTTTTTCATTAGAACTTAATTTACTTATGAACTTATTATACCATCTAATTAATTGATAACTTTCATTAATTACAGGCAAGAATTCGACCTAAATTAAATCTTCATTAACATCGAGAATCATTCCTCACAGTTTTTAATATTCAGTAAGTTAGTAAAAATGTTATATACAATAGTTGATTTATGATCGGCATTATTTTCACGGTAATTAAATATTCAAAATATAAATCCACACTCAAATTACTTAAAAAACTAATAATTCATTTTATCTCAAGACGGAATAATAATAATATTCGTAAAATGACTGGTCAGTCAGTCGGTCGGTCTGTCGGTCGTATTCAACTGAGAACGTGTCGCAAATTTGAATTCGTCTAATTTCTACATCTTACATCAAAATAAATAAAAGATTGATATGAGAGTGATAAGTTAAGGAAATTAAATGTTAATGACCTTTGTTGGCTTCTGTGGATCCTAATGTATCGACACCTCGTTTTACTAGAGTATAAACGAGGAGAAAGATGTAAGTAACTAATAAGGTAACACTTGCCAGTTTCTAAGTTTCTAGTTTCTAAGTTTTAGAATGTCTATCCACAAACATATTCATAATAACCTCTAAAGATTAATCATACACCTTATTAACTGCCTTCAGCACTGTCTACAACACAGCAAAAACCTTTATTAAATGCACAGGAAAGAATAATGGCGAACAGTAAGGAACAACAGGTTATATACAAGAATCTATAAATCGTAACAGTAAATATAGAATAATTCCAAAAGTGTGTGGTTTCTTTACATAATAAGTCAAAAGAAAAACGTTTTTTAATCAATAAAACTCGAAACGATCAAGAGAGATCAGAGAAAAACATTACATTAGGATAGAAGACCTCCTACACTTTTCATTACGGAATCACCGATAATACAGACTTTATAAGACTTCAACTAGATGTTCCAGTGCTGTTCATGCCTCAGACTCAAATTAACAGTTTTGCATTTAGAAAGATTAAATATGAGACCACTAACAGGAAACCATCATTCATTGAGCGACAAGAACCCATTCATTTCGAGGAGATTTGAAGAATCAGAAATCGCTATACGTAAAATGAGGTTATCTGCATACCTAACAAAAGTGTTTTCTGCAGGGTATGGCAGATTACCTATAAAAAGTGAGAAAAGAGGAAAAAATGGACCCTTGTAGCACACCATTTTGATATAGTAAAGACGTAGAATACTTCCCTCTATAGAGGTAAGAACACACCTATTTAGTTATCCAGCTGTCAGTGTTAACTCTGGCAAACTTGTTTGATAGCAGTAGTCTTGAAACAGAGGTATAGTTTTGAAATACGCATCAAACATACTTCTTGCCCTTTTACAAACTGAAAACTATATTATGATGAAGAACAGCAGCACTCGAGGTATTTCTCTTGGATTTTTACACAGACTGATATTGATCAATATAGTTCTTTAATGCATGTTGAAATAGGAGTAGCATTAGTTTTTCCATTGTCTTAAGAAAAGGTGAAGTTATTGCTGAGTCTAAATTTCACATTTTTATTGCCAGATACTTTCATCGGTATTGGGATTATCTTTATCTTTCTCCATATTTTTGGTATAAAATTAGTCTAGAAGAATCCAACACGATTCTAAAAATCGGTTTGGGTCAAGTCCTAAACAGTAGGACGAGTTAACTGAAAGGAGATATTTTCGAAAGTTAGTTTCAGTAAAAATTCAAATACAACTCTTTCCTTAACTTGTGGAAGAATGACATCAGATCATTGGCCTACAAATGACTTATTTACAAAACAAACATCCAGTTGGGCACTTTCACTAATGAGTCTCCCACTTGCAAGCTTTTTAAATAGTTCCCATATATTTCAAGAATTTTTACAAGATAGGAGTATCTGAGTGAAAATCTAATTCAAACGTGTAATTTCTTGGCTTATTAAACCATGTAGTTCACCAGCGTAGATGATCTATGTTGAATGATTGGAGACTTAATAGAGTTAGACGGGAATGGCGTGACGAACCAGCTAACATCGAAGTCACACCTCGTAGTCAGCATCTCACGTGGATTACCCCATTGACGTATCAAGGTACCATAGATACTTTGAAAACTGTACAACACAAAGGACGTTATTACAGAAATATATTTGTTAAAGTAGATACAAGCGAAGGTAAGACCACTACCGCATGGGTCAGCCCATGGCGTACGACTAACTGACGCGCGTTGGTTATCCTTGGCCTTGACAGGGATCGACGATCGATTCGATATTCACTGGCCCTACAACTACTTAGCTTTTGAACTTCAGTGGAGATTTTATCCCCATGCGTTCTTCATTTTCCCCTCTGAAATCTTTTTAGTTATGGGGATGTAAGCCGGTTAAAACATGCAAAATTAGCTCCAGTGGGATAAAAAATATCGAGGTAGAGTTTAATATAACAAGTGGCAACATCAACGATGTTTCCCAATTAGTCATTTGTAAATAAATCCCAGTTTGCGCAATACATTTCGAACAATCTGATCACACATATACTTGTTAAGAGCATTTATATATAAAAATAAAAGGTCAACTAGACAGGAAATGGGGTAAGAGGAGATCAGATTGTTCGAAATGTATTGCGCAAATATATCACATAGTTCTGATAATCTTCGTCTTCTCATTGCATTATCGAAATTTATCAAAGGGACTAATTGTTTTAAATCCCAGTTTGTCCTACGAAGTGTTTTTCAGATGTTGGATATTCTCCTCTGAATAGTTTTTATTTTTAACTTTTTCCATCTGGTGTAAGAGTGTACTCTACGCAAGCTTCCTATATACTTTAGGTAGAACACAAATAATACAATTATCAGAACTAATAAATGGAACACATTCACTAGTACCACATTACTAAATCATTAATGAAAACTAAGTATAAATGTGTATCCAGATGAGTGGGAAAATTGACTACATTTTGGTCAACTTAATATGAAAGTTATATTCACAAGAACTAAAATTACCACATATAATTGAAAGCGAATCAGTGAAGCGAGTAACAGAAAATTCAGTGAATTCATCAATAAAAACAGATAATGCATATGAAATTCAGTCCGAAGTCACATAAATGTTGATAACATAAATATAACTGTACCTACTCAAGTGTTTTGGACGACATTTTAATGTCAAACTGTCGATAAAGTTGCAATTGGTGACGGCTGATCAATTACAGTCTTAAACATGAATGAGAAATTTCAAACTAGTACAAATGACTCGATAAAGTCGTTTGAAAACTTAACACATGAAAAATTAGATCCACAACAGTCCATGTTTGCAAATGTAGCTACACCGCCGCCACACTTTTTATTATTGCTTGATCTGCCTCGATATTATATATTGAAACTATGTAGTGATACTAGGGAATCGTCGTGTAAATGTTTTAACTAGTATTCTTGAATTGTGATTACACCACAATTACGATACGTGTTTGGACTTAGTACGGACCAAAGGTAGCCCACCTTCCCAATTAGTGTTCGGGGGTTGGAAGTTAGCAGATCAGGCATCGACGCCTGATTAATGTTCATTGTTTTCAACGCCGGCCACTGAGCAGTCTCGAATTATGCTTTTTAGTACCTTGTAAAGCGATGAGTTATAAGCAATTATGTACACACTTGAATAAGTTATGCATTTAATAGACATAATTAATGTGTTAAAATCAACAAAAATTTAACTTAGTGAAATATTTAGATGGTAGGAAAAATTAGTAGCCCAGATATCCAAGCAAGCTGCCAAGTATTATTGAACTTATAAAATCTCCTTTTTTAGTGGTATAAATTCAATAAGTCAAATGAAAGGAATGTGGTTTCATATAATATAATATCGTGTACAACTGTTTATATGTGATTAGTTTTATCGTTAACTGAAATTATTCGAATGATGTATACAATGAAACAACTGATATTTTATCAATGAAATTCGATCGTAACATAAATTGATATTCAATTCGATTTTTATCGTTTTGAGATGACAAGTATAAATAGTAACAGATAAATTCGAATATATGAATAAGCTTTCTGTTACATTTCATGATAAAAATATGTTATTAGCCGAGAATCTAATAGTGCGATATTGATAACTGTTCCTTGATATGTTCTTGGCCACTTTTTAAAAAGTTTTTAAAAGTTGTATTTCACACACCTTAGTTGACATTATTGTCATGACGATTGAGATTCATAACCCCTATTGATAAAAATTTGGATCGTGATTATAAATATTTGATTATAACCTGCATTTTAAAATATGTGCTTATTTAATTAAGAGAACACTTTAGGTTGCCTTTACGAGTTCGTTAGTTGCCTATAAATAAGTACATCGTTGTAATCTGATTATAGTTGAGATCCATCTGGCATAAACTGTTTTGATCAGATGCCGACATTTGGAATGTTATAGTTGAATTTTATTTCAGTTCACAGACGACTCAATTGCTTTGTAGTAGAAAATTTTAACTTCGAAAAAAATGCCACATCAATCCTATTTGACTGTCATATGATACTACTGATTGGTTATAGATACTGAAATGACAGGTTGAATCAATTCTTTTATTATTCACATAGAAACAGAACTTATTTTGTTTGGTTATCTTGAAATAATGTACCCATATAATTTCTATTTAGATGGAATGATTTTACATGTCATACAAAAAAAAATCTCGACTAAATTGATAACTATTTCCTGGCTATAATGATCAGTTTATTGTAAATAGATATAAATTTCTAATCACAATGGTAATTACTATTACCTGAAAATTGATAAACTTAAAAATTCACAAGGTGGAAATGGTTTTCCCTTTAACCATTTTCATGAATTATCTTAACTTATCATTTAATTAATAGATTTATACTTACAAACTTTGTCATAGATGTCTAATGATCTGAATATGTAATCGTGGTAACCTAATGCAAATGGTACACTTGATTAATGCTAAATGCTGAATTAATCTAATATTACTGAATGATTAACATTTCGAAAGATTGTTCAGTGAAGAAAATTGTCTTTTGATTAATTAACAGCATTTTAGAATTCATGAAAACACACATAAGTAACCATGAAAGAATCCTATTACGTCATTAGATAAAATGAAAATGGCTTTGCAGACAATGTCACATACTCAAACTGAAAAAAAAGGGATTTACAGTTAATTTATCATTTGACAAATGTTTTAATGATAATAGTCTAAATATTTAAATATCTAATAAAGTAACCTGTAATTCAATAAAACAATGTTGTATGATTTTAGAAAGTTAACAATAATAAAAACAACACTGAATCATCAATTGTACATTAGCGGACGAATATCTGAAGGAGGGTTATATGTAACGATGTAGACTTGAAGGAAATGTGTTAAGATGATAATAGTTGTAAAATAAGTGATTGCCGTACATCAAATTTCCTATTGATAGCTAATGAATTACCGTAAAAAAGATTATGAACAAGTAAACAGATTCTTGATCTTTTGAGTTAGAGAATATGATAGAATGGTGTGACTACGTTGGAACGAGTTGTTAGTACTGTTGTTGTATACCAAATTTCTTTATGGATTCATTATCAATATTCTGTGCTATCACATACATATGGTCTGACTAATGCGAGAAGAAATATTAAATTATATCTTATGCTATGGCTATCACTGAAGGTGAATCAAAATAAACTGTTAAGCTTGAAATATTGTAACTTCATAAAACAATGTACTGAGTGTCGTTTAATTTACTTCCAATACAGGGAGCAAAGATCTAAGCAAAGTTTTAATATTATAAATGAAACATTGTATTCCACTGACGATCCAAGTTGCTCCGTCAGAGGTTTCCCGTAGTGGCTGAGTATGATGGCATACGTTGCAAAGTTCGTTGGTGTCCGCATCGTCGTCCATAATGTTGTCCCTCTCAATGAACGCTTCAGAGGTGATGCGAGTTCGGCTACACTTCCACTATAGCAACAACTATCCTTGATAAATCGTCGGTGACAATCCCAATCAGATCTCGATTATTAGTTAAACGCTTGAAGAACGACAGAAATTGAGAGAGCAGTGCTGAAGTTTCACGAAGAATGAAAGTGGCAGAGATCGGTATGGCCATTATATTCCTATCCAAGGCCAAAATTCGATACATAAATAAATTTTTGTTGTTGGCTTTATATATCCCAATAAACCATCTACATCCAAGAAATAATTAGCCAAATAGATTTGCTTTGCTTCAGCTAAGAAAAAATACTAAAGATCATTATTCTCGTTCATTTGACACTCATAAAACCCGCTAAAGAAAGTGATATAGTTTTTCATTTTGGCGTAATCCCCTACATTCCATTCATGTAAATATCTAAATTACTAACAACATAGATTGTCCGGTGAAAACAATTTGTGCCGCATATTTTAGCCGCTTCCTGTAAGACTGACATACAAAGTAGATAAATTTGAAAGTTGCCGTCCCCAAACTCAGCAAAGATCGGACGCTCTCGAATTTCGTATCAGTCAACCTCCTATTACACGATCTGTTGTTGTGTTTTAGGGGATGCATTCATGATTATGATGCACATTCCCTCGAGTAATAATCTAGTAACCTTCGATAAATTTACGAAATATAAACGATTGACATTGAGTACTTATAGCAACCCTTCAGATAACAAAATATTATAAAATAGTTTGACTTACCTGCATTGGATATGAATGATAGATCTTCTAGCTGATCTTTGACCTTTTCTATAACATATAAATTTAAAATACAGTTTCTGATTGTTATCGAAATGAGAATCGCCAACCACAAAGTGAGAATAAGTTGTCCTTTCATATTCTTTGATAGCTTTTTATAAAGCTAAAAATAAGTAAAACGCTAAAAGATGTAACGCGATCAAGAATATATTTACGATCGTCCTAACTGATAAGTCAGAATCAGTAAACGATGTGTTGAATATTGGCATTTTACTACCCAAGATTGTTAATTTCATTCACTATGTGAAGACCATTCCGATCAAAGGGGATAAAAAGTGAAGATCGCGTTTTTTTTAATTTGGTGTGTTTGTTGCCGAATAATATTCATTTACTTTTCAATGTGATAACATACTCAATATAAGATTGAGTTCATTTTCAGTGTGAACTTTCTTCAGCATGATATTCTCAGTATTAAATTAACGTGAACCATGTTCAGTGAGACATTTTGAAATTAATAACCAAATAGGTATACAAACCAATATATGAATGGACATATTTTTGGCTAGAGTCATCATGTTTTGGAGTGAATAAATCTTTACCTGTACAAGCTTTTTGTGTTCTTACCTTGTATCGTGAAAAAATGTAATGGTTTCTCGTTTCCACTTATAAGTATTAGGGCAACGGGGATATAACATTGTTAGTGTTCAAAACTATATGGCTAGTACTTGGTAAATTATTAACGCTCATAGTTTGGAGAAAAGGTAAAAATAAAAGGAATTATTCCGCTTTTTAGAAAAAAGTCTCAATAACTTCTTTTCTGAAATGCTGTTTATTTCATTAGACGAATGAAATGAAAACCTTTTTAAAATTTAAAGAAAAATACGAAATTCATTGTGACGTTAAGGTTATATGCTGCTTCATGAATACTACTGGTATTGGAATAATTCGGCGTAAAATGTTAGTCGTGTCTTCCCACTAAATTGTAGAATGATTTCAATAGTGTCCAAATGTTTTTTACTCACTAGAAAAGAATTGGGTGCAAACATTTTTATCATGTATACTTCTGAAAATTCGTAAACATTTGTATTTAGTTTGATATGTTTTAATTTCTCTTCAAAATTAATCACATAATGATCAGGTTATCGGTAGGGAATACAGGAATAAAATACACAGTAGTACATGAACATAGATACATTGGAATCTATGATCCCGAACGAAGGTATATAATGCTCTACAGTGCCGTATTTAGTGACAAACGGGTTGTAGGAAATAACATTATATGAGGAGTAAATTGGACCTAATGAATTATTGTATCATGATAATCGGGTATTATATTAAACACACACCACCGAGTAAAGTCAGTATTATTGATATTATTATTAACTTGAACTACTTGTAAAAATGATCATACCTATGGGTAATAAATGTAGACGGCAAGTAAGACGCTCGAAACAAGATTCTTGATGAACAAACATCAATTAAATTTCAGTATTCTAATCCCAATCATGTCAATCAACAGGCAATAAGTCCAATTACATTGCATAGTTTTACATGTTTATTGTCAATGTTTTTTAAAGTGCATATTATCATATTTGTTCGTGTATGAATTATAGTCTCACCGCTTACTTAATGAAATTCAAAGACTCCATAAAATATTTTTTTAAAATAATGTTTCACAAAAGAATTGTTATTCGTAACTTCCTGTTTAGTCGTAACCATTGAATTCTCACAAAACACAAATATCATGATTGTGTTGATTATTGACTAAAACATACTAAAAGTGTATCATGGTAAAGCTGAGACTTCAGGGAAAACGTACATGAGAAATTATTGTCAGTTATTTTTAGAGTAAAACTAAACAAGTACAATATAAAATGGAGTGAATGCTGTCGGCGTTAACTGGACATAAAGTATCTTAAATATAATGTCACACTTCGTTATTTATATTTCTGACATTGAACTCTAGTTTATTACATTGTTTTTAATTTCAGAGACTTTATTTCGGACAATTAAGCTATGGATTATTCATTTGTAATTCTAGACTGGAGGGAGAAATAATATAGTGATCAATCTTTGGATTATTACTGTTACCATTATTATTATTACTGTTATTATTATTATTAACTTTTTCATCGTAATCGGGAATATTTCAGCTTTTCAATAGTTTGTAAATTAAATCATAGTATCTTGCATTAGATGTTTTGGACAGAAGCTTAATACAGCAGTTGTTTTGATGCATTGAAGATTTCAAGATATATCACCTATTGATTTTTTTTCTTCTACCACTATAAGAGGTATTTTGATGCTATCATTGTTTTTCATTCAGTTATCTCCTTTATGTTTTTATTCACCTTCACTGTAAACAGATTATTTATCTTCAGTTTATTTATATTTCTAGACGATATTATTATTAACAGTCGTTAGCCCCAAGATATATATATATATATATATATATATATATATATATATATATATATATACAGTACGCTTTAATTGAAATCATTTATCCTCAGCTCTATTTCTTTTACTGAAAATGATTGTAAGTATTAACAAATATGCAATTATTTACATCAGATTTCTTTTAAAGTTATCCATTTTAGCTGTTACAGTAAACAAATTCGGATAATTGTGTTAATTTCATTTAGAGTTAATCAATAATGGATTGTATCGACAGCATATGATATAATCTATAGTTCTTTTTATAAATGCTAATTTTAATGACTTATAGCATGCACCTCTGAAGATCCAGAAAGTGGATAAAATTTCTTTTTTTTTAAAGTACATTATGTAATAGATTGTTCAGTAAGGTAGTGTCAGTATGTAATCTGAAAAAAGTTCTACTGCTTGGAGAAGGTAGGTTGATCTGATGCAGTTAAGATGTTTTTGCTATGATTAGAGAACAAAAAACTATAACATTAGTATGGTATCCAACGTCTTTATATGTCTAATTTACATTTAGTATACAGGAATCCTTTGATTATCCTATGTAAAATTTCATTTGCTTATCGATAGTTTCCTGATCGAAGATTTTTGCTGTATACTTTGAGCTTTTTTTCACAGATATATGGGTTTAAATTATATGCATAGAGTTAAACGTCTTCCTTGTATTACAGATTATAATTACTGAGATAGAGAGTCACTTGTTCAACAATCTTTGGAATGTATTTATACATGATAACTGATCGTAATTCACTCTTGTGTTAATCCTTATAGAACCATTATTTTCATCGGATGATAACCTCCAATAGTTATCAGTTGATATCAACAGTTACTGAAATTTGATAGAGAAATAAAAGTTATACCAGAACAAAATATTATGACACTTAGTTTATGATGCAATACAGTTAGTTTCATTCGTAATAGGTGGTTTATGATTTTCAAAATGAATAATAGATAGTTGAAAATAAATCCAAATTTTCTGAGCTCGAATTCGTGTTAGGTTTTGAGAGCTCATTAATAAAGAATCCTTACCAAAACACTGTTGATATCATAGTAGACTTGGTGATCAGAAACGATTTCTTAAATCAAGTATATGTTACGTTCGTTAGGCCTCATGCTCAAATAGTCATCTTTCCAAATATTATGTTTAGTGCAAACTTCAAAAGAAGTAAACTAAATAGTTTCTTCATGTGCATAATCTAGGATGTAACTGTTTATTCGGAATAGCTGCGTTTTAAGTTAACGTACTCATCCTCAAATTCATCATTTTACCGATACATCTCTGATCTCATAATCATGCATTGTAACTTTTCTATAATATAAGATCAAATATGGTGAAATGATCTGAAAAGTCAGTTAGTGCCCATACATACAAGGACAACGATAATAGTCACTTTATATGATATAGTGGTCTTGATGATCGTTCTATTCTATTGTGAGAACAAATTTCGTATAATCTCTCTCCGCCTGTAGCTCTTCCAGAGTTACTGCCGGTCCCAAGCCCGGGTAAAGGAGGAGGGTTGGGCATGGGGTTAGCGTCCCCGCTCGCTAAAAATACGCTTACCAGAAAAAATTATTCAAATCATTTAAAGTCTGCCCTGAAAGTTAGAAGGTCTTCATTTAGAAGAATTATGACGCTTCATGGTGAAAGCCGAGTTCCTTCGGAAGCCACGAGGCCGATGCCCCTTCTAACAACCAGAGCAAAAATTTTTATAGGTACATGGAACGTTCGAACAATGTGGGAAACCGGGAAGACCAGTCAAATAGCAGTGGAAATGAGGAGATACAACTTAGCAGTACTGGGAATCAGCGAAACTCATTGGACCCAAGCTGGACAACAAAGGTTAAATACGGGAGAGATGCTACTATACTCCGGTCATGAAGAGGAAAATGCTCCACACACTCAGGGAGTTGCTCTAATGCTATCCAAAGTAGCACGAAATGCACTTGTAGGATGGGAATCTCATGGATCCAGAATCATCAAAGCATCATTCAAAACAAAGAAGGAGGGGATCACAATGAATATTATCTAATGTTATGCACCCACCAATGATAGCAACGACGACATTAAAGATCAATTCTACGAGAGGCTGCAGTCAATCATAGAGAAGTGCCCAAGAAAGGACCTCACCATTCTGATGGGAGATCTAAATGTCAAAGTCGGAATAGACAACACCGGATATGAAGATATCATGGGACGACATGGACTGGGTGAAAGAAACGAAAATGGAGAAAGATTTGCAATTCTGTATGCATTCAACAAATTGGTCATAGGGGGCACAATATTTCCACACAAGACTACATGGATCTCACCGGACCACATTACAGAGAACCAGATAGATCATATTTGCATCAACAAAAAATTCCGAAGGACAATGGAAGATGTGAGAACCAGGAGAGGCGTTGATGTAGCTTCAGATCACCACCTAGTTGTGGCCAAATTAAAACTGAAGCTAAAAAAGAACTGGACAACAGGACAAACAGCACTACAAAGGTTCAATACAGCCTTCCTTCGAGATACTTACAAACTCAATGAATTCAAGATAGCTCTCAACAACAGGTTCCAAGCCTTACAGGATCTACGAAAGGAAGAAGAAACTAGTATGGAGGACAACAGGAAATGTATCAAAGAAGCATTAACTTCAACGTGTCAAGAGGTTCTGGGTCTAAAGAAGCATGATCAAAAGGAATGGATCTCAAAAGAAACACTGGACAAGATCAAAGAAAGGAAGAACAAAAAGACAAATTAACAACAGCCGAACACGAACAGAGAAAGTCCAAGCACTCCTGAATAGGCCGACTCCGATGAATCCACCGGACATCAAAGCAGCGCACACAGATCTTCCTATAGATGTCAATCCACCAACGACGGGAGAAATCAGAATGGCCACTAGACAAATCAAGAGCGGGAAAGCAGCAGGACCTGACAACATACTAGCTGAAGCACTGAAGTCAGACATCGAAGTAACTACAAACATGCTTCACCTTCTATTCAAAAAGATTTGGGAGGAGGAACAAGTGCCGATGGACTGGAAAGAAGGGCACCTCGTCAAAATTCCAAAGAAAGGAGACCTGAGCAAATGTGAAAACTACAAAGGAACCACACTACTGTCAGTACCAGGAAAAGTCTTTAACAGAGTTTTGCTGAACCAGATGAAAGATTCAGTAGACGCCCAACTTCGAGATCAGCAAGCTGGATTCCGTAAGGATCGATCGTGCAAGGACCGAATTGCGACACTACGGATCATCATCGAACAATCAGTTGAATGGAACTCGTCACTGTACATCAACTTCATTAATTATGGAAAGGCATTTGACAGTGTAGATAGGAGGACGTTTTGGAAACTTCATCTTGGGACCACTACGGAGTTCCTGAGAAGATTGTCAATATTATCCGGAACTCATACGACGGACTACCGTGCAAGGCCGTGCATTGAGGACAGCCGACAGATGCATTCCCAGTAAGGACCGGAGTCAGACAAGGCTGTCTACTCTCTACCTTCCTCTTTCTTCTGGTGGTCGACTGGATTATGAAGAACTCAACATCCGAGGGAAAGCGCGGAATACAATGGACAGCTCAAAATCAAATAGACGATTTGGACTTCGCAGATGACCTAGCCCTCGTATACAATACACACGAACAAATGCAGATAGACAGCCAGTGTGGCAGCAGTCTCTGCATCAGTAGGCCTCAGAATACACAAAGGGAAAACCAAGGTCCTCAAATTCAGGGCGGAGAACAGCAATACAATCACTCTTGATGGCGAAACTCTGGAAGATGTAGAGTCCTTCACATACCTAGGAAGCATCATCCATGAACAAGGAGGTTCAGATGCAGACGTTAAGGCAAGGATTGGCAAAGCAAGGACAGCATTCCTACAGTTAAAGAACATATGGAACTCAAAACAACTTTCAACCAATATTAGAGTGAGAATCTTCAATACCAACGTCAAGGCAGTTCTACTGTATGGAGCTGAAACTTGGAGAACTACAACAACCACAACCAAGAAAGTACAAGTATTTATAAATAGCTGTCTACGCAAGATACTCAACTTTCATTAGCCGGATACCATCGGCAACAGCTTCTTGTGAAAGAGAACCAACCAGCTTCCAGCTGAAGAGGAAATTAGGAAAAGACGATGGAAATGGATAGGACATACATTACGCAAATCGTCAAACTGCATCACGAGGCAAGCCCTAACTTGGAATCCTGAAGGAAGGCGGAAAAGAGGAAGGCCAAATAACAGATTGCGTCGGATAATAGAAGCAGATGTGAAAAGGATGAATAGGAACTGGAAGGAGCTGGAAAGGATTGCCCAGGACAGGGTTGGATGGCGAATGCTGGTGAGAGGCTTATGCCCCTTCACGAGGAGTAACAGGCGTAAGTAAGTAAGTCTCATCAGTATATTTTGGCCAATTGGTTTTCCTTGTCAGTAAGGCTTTCCTGGAACGCTCAGATGTCATCAATGGTTTCTTGCTGACCCACACTTCTGTAGAAGTATAGCTAATTTAATTCCAAAATATCTTGACTGTAACTTCTGTTTCCCACTGTCTCAATGAAAGAAATATCTACG